GATAGGTTTAAATGAAGAACCGGAAGTGACTTTGACATTCACCTTGAGACAAGTGGGGTAAGAATTGGGGAGGAGCTTAAGTTGGTTGACATAAATAATGGCATACATTCCTTCAAAATCTTCAGAAAACAAACTTATAGTGACGCCACCATACATGCTTCTTCAAGACATCCAATATCTCACAAATTTGCCATGTTCCATAGTTTGTTACACACACTTATCACTGTATCCTTGTCATCTGAAAATTACTAAATGGAATTAAAAACTATAAAACAAATTGCTGTTAACAATGGTTATACAAAAAAGTTAATTAACTCATTGTTGTTTAAAGAATTGAAAGATATAAATTTAAAATCAATATATATATACATACTGTACCAAACAACAACAAAAAGAAAATGGTTTAATATGAGCTACATTGGAAAACCTTCACATAAAACATATAACACACTGAACAAAGAAATCTACAGACTGGCTGTCTACTGTAAAAACAACCTAGGGAAAATGTTGTGCAACAACAAAGTACAACAACAGTGGTGTTTACCACTTAACATGTCAAGACTGCAATAGTATATATATATATATATAGGTCAAACAGGACGTTCCACAGAAACAGGAATGAAAGAACACTCTAGAAGCTGGAAATTAAGGTAAATGGATCCAACCTTTACATCCCACCATATTAAAACTAAACATCAATTTGATCCAGATAAAAACTGCAAAATTTTAAATATCTGTGAAAAAGGTAAAAAACTAGACAGTCTGGAAATTTTAGAAATAAATAGATGTCTAAATACAAATAAAAAAAAGTTTAAAACTTCACCTCCTCCCCACTTTTCTCTGGGTGAATGTAAATGTCACTTCTGGTATCACTATCCCTAAAGAATGCAGTCCTCCATGCAAAAGCTTTCAGGACCCGACTGAAAAAAACTGAGCTGCAGCCACCCAAATGGAAGGACTTTGAACTGAAATATTTGATAACTGTGGATGAATCAAAGGAGGTGATGGTAAGACAGATTAAATAAAGATTCAGAGAAAAGCATCTAAGACATCAATATTGGTCATCCGCATCCTGGGTGAGAAACCATCAACCTTGAATTGAGGGATGACCAATAATGGTCAAGTGTGACAGATCTATAACAGCTCATCAATATCCCATTATTTCAAGAACACAAAAAGACACGAGTAAATTGTCAGTGTGTGTGGTTGAGGACATGTTATATGGCATTTATAACCTGGAGAAAGTACCTAGCCTCATCCAAGTGTTAAAATGCAAAGGATCTGAGGAGGGTGGAGGTACAACAGATAAATGGGGAAAATGAGACTGATGATAGCCCCTGTGCAATCCAGAAGTATTCAGGTATGCAAAGTTGGAGAGCCAAGTTTCCACTGGACCAGAGCTAGGGACAGCTCCAGAACAAAAAATCTCTGATGTACATATGCCCAGCTCTCAATGAGAGGGGGAGGGGGTATCAAATAGTAATAACAGGACTGACAAGGAGCAGGAGAAGGGAAATCCTGGTCCAAGAAATGCAGGAAGCCAAAGTTACCAGAGATTACTGCTGATGAGCTTCCTCAGCTTGAGATTCCAAAATAAGAAACACTCCTAGAAACCTCATTACCAAGGAGGAAGGGTGCAAGTTGGAGGTCTCCGAGATAAGATTGAGGGAGGCAAACTTCAGAAAGTAAAGCATCCCACCTAAATAAACCCCAGAGAAATAGTTAACTGAGAAATAATGGAAAAAGAAATCAAGTCCCAAGTGGAGAACTGGAGAAAGAAGATCACATCAATCAAAGCATCTATGGATAAAGCTGATACATTATTCTCATCACAAGGAGAGGAAGCAGAAGTAGGTGGAGGAAATAGCTGGTCAAATTTGTCTAAAGATGGGGCATGCTCAGCTTGAGCAACAGAAGCAGGAGCTGTTAGACAATGCCACATCACACAGTCTAGTAAATCTTAGCAATGTCAAAATTGTGTTTTGCCTCCCAATGCAACATCAGTGCTACAACCTCTTGACGAGGGTATCAT